GGATGGGTGTTGTTAGATACCATTCCGGGACTCTCGGTTTCACTCATCAGCGAGACCAGTCTTCTTGCCTGTGTCACAGGTGCATGCTTGAGTGAGAAAGAGAAAATGGGTGGAAACAGTTTGCTTTGTTTTGCTTTGCTCTGCACTTATGATCTGAAGTTATTTCCTCAGGTGAGTGTTTCACAGCATCCACAGCAGCTCCACGTGGCCTCGGAGCCTTTAGGAAAGGCAATGTACTAGGATATAAAATGACATATTCCCAACAATTAGGAATGAAAACAATTTCCACAAGTTTTCATGAAAAAGTAGCTGCTTTTAAACATCGACTGTCCCTTAATGAGGGTGACCATATATCCGGGGGCTGGGGGGCTCTGTTGTGTCTGTACCGTTATACCCCTCTTAAAAAGTCTCCTGGTTTGGATGCTAAGTTTATGGACAGGCCCAGCGGAAGGGGTTCAGGTGCAGTGTGAACTTTTGCTTTGCTTCAGTTGTGGCTTCTGACCCGCTGAGGGCCCCCTCCCTGCCATCCTGTTTATCAGCTTATTATAACTCCATTGGCCAGACTGCTGCTGCTTGATCTCTCAAGGGAAGTTGAAGCTTTTAGGATATTTTAAATGTGGGGTATTGAATTATTGCGATATTAGGAAACAATTTTCTGGATAGAAATTTCTGAATATAAAAGCGCCCATCAAACTCTTAATGGTTTTCTCGATGAAAAACTGCACAGAACAGCAAAGGTGGCTGGAATCTATTTTAATACTAAAGCGAGCCTAAATGTATGGACCCCACAGCGTCTGGTCTCCTGTGTGAATTTCTGCGTTGCATTTCCAACCTGGTGTTTGTGGGGTAGGAGGGCTGTTTTTAATTGTCTCTCCTAGAAGTCCAGCTTTTCACAATTCAGATAGAACATGTGGAATTTACCACTGACTCTTGGACTCGTTCTTGAGCACCGCTGTCATTTTTGTGTTGATGATCCCTTTCCTTCACTGTGTCTTTCAGGTCTCGCTCTCCTTTACCCCCGTTCTTCAGCACCAAGTCTAAAGACCCCTGCTTTACAGAAAACACTCCTTTGCTGAGGAATTTCTCACAAGAGAAAGGGTGAGGTTTTTTTTCCCCCTTCCTTATAAAATTAAGACATCTCTGAGAATTACCCTTGGCACTT